TTATGTTGCCGATCTTACCCCGCTAGTCATGATTTCGAAACATTAAGTACAACCCTGAGAACAGAATGCCAAGCCACGATCTGGCCACGCGAATAAGTTGAAGTTACATCTTTCTAACAGGAAAAGTAACTTTCGTTATCATGGAATTATAACAAAACGTGTCAATTCAATATAAATGGAAAAAAAATATTATATGGAATTGAACGAAAATGAAAATTTGCTTGATAATTCAACTACGCTTGTTGGAGAACAATAAAAACACTACACTCAACAAGCCACCAATAAAACTCAACTGCCTAACCTATAACCAAAGTCTCCTTTTAATTTGTTTTTAAAAAAAAGCGCTTGACAAACTTGCCCCGCATGCCGAAGTTGCCCCGGTCTCCCCTACATAATTAAGAAAATTTCGGCAATTATTAAAATTTGCAGTTGATGCGAGAGTAGTCATTAAAATACCTTAAAATACATTTAGAAATTTCTCCATATAATACTAAATACATTATTAATCTCTTAAATCAGAATGATTTATTAGATATAACGGTATGCTTTATTGTTAAAATCATAATTATTAATTACGTAAAAAGAATCCCTGTTTTATTATACATATACTAGACGATGAAATAATGATATTAAACATATGGCTTTTCTGTAGTATAAACTAATGTTATTAATGAAAATTTCATTAGATTTATTTCTTTGGAACATTCAATGAAAGAAAATATTGCAAATATATTACTTGATTTCGCAATTAATGAATTTAAACTTGCACCGGAAATACGAGGCTTCATCTAACAAGTCAGGGAAGTTTAAGCGAATGTAAACCAGAATATTACAAAAATATCCTCTGACCCATTACACACAGTGTTCAAGCTACTCACTTAATTTAGTCATGTCATCGTACTAGATAAAATCTATTCTTAATATGATTAGCACAATTAAATTTGTGTCTAATTATATAAGAGAAATCATGTAGTAGAATATTTCGTAGCTTTTTACTAGATTGCAGCGAAAAGCAAACTTTAAAAACTGCACGAAAAAATGAGTAAAAGAGTTCAGTTCTTTATTTTCATATATTATTGACACGTTAGAAAAATTAAATGAGATGGATAACACAACTATTATTTATTTAAAATCAATGAGTTGTTTTGATTTTATGTTTTAAAATGGCAGTATTTTCAATTTTTTCTATTATCTGTAAATCGTAAAATATAAATCTCTAATTGTCACTTGATTGATGCCTCAAACACAATTAATTTGTTTAAAAAAAAAAACTTTATATCAAGGTAGAATCGACAGTAGTGAATACGAAAATGTTTACAAGGAAGTGGTAAAAGTTCCATACTATAACATTTCTCTGTTTGTTCAAACAGAGAAATGTTATAGTATGGAACAAACCGTCAGATGTAACGTTCCAGCAATTCCTCAAGAAAACATTACCTAAAAGATACATGTAAACAGAATGTTCTCTTTGTTTGATTACTTTCAAATTGAATCTAATAATAGATTTCGTCCATTCTTTAGTGAAATATATAATTTTCAAGCAACAACACTGGCCTATATACGTTCTGCAATAACTAGTGAATTAGGAGATCCATTAAAAGAAATTATAAAACCATTAATAGACGATCAATTGTTATTTATTAAATGAACCCGTTGGAAAGAAAAGAGGACATACGAAATATTGAAACTAAATACAGAAGCGACGGCACTTTTAGATTGTGATCGCAATTTTTATTCTAATTTAAAAATAATTCTTCAGTTATTTTATACTACTCGTAATTCCGGATGAAAAAGAAAGAAGCTTCTCAATCCTTCATAGATTTAAAATTTGAGTTTTTCTATGTTTACAGACAAGTAACTGTTAATATTTAATTATTTCTATTGTACTTTTAATTGTGCTTTTACTTATTTTTTTAAACGAAGAGTTACACAAATTTATATTCGCGTAGTAAAAATTAAGAAAATAATTAAAATACGTAATTAATTATGCTTTAATTTGAATCCTTCTTTAAACAGTTTTAAATTACTATAGCGATTTCTAAACTTTGATTCTTTGGGTTCATACTGAATGTATAAAACAATTAGGCTTTTAACACTGAACATATTCATCATTTATTGGCCTGCAATTCAAATTAGAGGCCTGTTTGTCTTTAATCTCTAGAACGGAGTTAGATAGATGAAAATCGACTCTACATATGAGAAACTTAGGAGCAGGATACTCCGATTAACTATATACTAACTTCCGGTCTAAAACAGAAGTCACGTGATTTAAAATTAAAGTATGATTAAAAATCGCAGCCGGCATTGTGACGATGTCACAATAATACACATTCAGTTTTTCATTTTTATTTTATTTTACTAACTTATAGGCAATGCTAGCTTATTCTATTAAAGATATAGTTAACTTAGTATTGTAACTTAAATATTGTAAAATATTATATTAAATTGAAATAATTGATATACCCTTTAATTACAGGCTATTGATTCATGCATTCGACATCATTTTGAAAAATGAAGTTTATAATTTTCCACCATTTTTCGATTTATATAATACAGTACTAATGCACATATATTATTTGTTCATTAAATAACGAACGACTAGACATATGCAGCTTTAATTTTTTCTTATGATTTAAGAATATGATAATTATGATGTAGGCCTATAAATGTATGGAAAACAAAGTATTTTCTTGTAATAAAAACAACTACAAGCGTACTTTTAAGGGGCTTCGCTAATACAGTGCTGTATTAGTGTAGCTCCTTAAAGTGATTTGTTTCACGTTTGTTGTTTTCAGCTCTTAAATAAATAAAAATCCTCTTACTATTTTCACTTTCCTATCGTTTTTTAGGTCTGGCACTATTGCGCACTTAATAAATAATAGTGTAACTATATAAACATGTTTTTATATGCAGGCAAGTGAGAAAAGGACTGTAATTCGATTTCTGATAATAAGTCTTGAAACTTAATTCGCCATATTAGAAAGATAGCCTGTACACGTAAATGTATATGGGATATATATGATAATAAAACAAATTCATATTTTATTATATTATTAAACATTCACTTATATTTCATTTTGAGAACGAAAATAACTGTTTTTCACTTACTGTTCTTAAGTAATATGAAGTAAACACGTCATACAATATACAGTAGTTTATGTTTTATTACCTAAATATTTTAATTTTTACATTTATATCCGCTCAGTATAAGATACACACGTTAGATTCATGTTACAATTTACGAAAATTTTCATATTGTTTGATTTCTTTAAAATAAACGTGTTAAAAATATCTAGTTGTTCCACAATGCGATTATTATATGAATTATTTTTCTAGCGAATTCATAACATAGCAATATTTGAAACCAATACCTTGACTATATAAAAGTATCCCGAATTCTTCGGGTATCATTAGTTTCAGGCGATAACATTGGCTTAAAAAACATTTCTCTTTCTATTTTATGTGTCTGTTAGCCTGTTAGCCTAAAGCTGATAGCAACAGAACTATAACTGATACCCACGTTGAAGAAAAAAATAGAATATTTTGTTTTATAACATTTTAAAATACATATTTAAAAAATTAAATTTATTAAATAATATTAAAATGTAAACCTAAATGCAACATCTTACTTAAATATTGTATTTATATTAATTAATAAGCCATTAAAAGTATACATGTATAATTTATCATTAAATCACTTGAAAATTTAAAAGTATCTTTCAAGCTCTTTTTAAATCTAAGATTTAAATCTCCAAAATATCAGAAATGACAAATTGAGAATGGAATAAGGCAATGCAACACAAGAGTAATCCGTCCAGAAGGGCGTCTCCAAGTAGAATTTTCTATGGGAAACTGATCCGTTTAGGCGTAAAACACGTAAAGAAAACACAGAAAATTCCGCATGACCTGCCCGTTGGTCAGGAGAAAACCCGTCACCAACTATCAGTGTTCAGTGATTTCATCCACTCTGCCACAGGTAGGTCTAATTGAGAATTTTATATATTATTTTATTCTATGTTCGTTTTGTTACTTTTTTGGAATTAGATAGGCCTACATGTTTATATTATATATTTGGTGAAAAGCAAAAGATATATATTTGGTGAAAAGCAAAAGACACAAAGTCTATAAATCTAAGAAACAAAAATTGTTTCTTAGATTTATAGACCTATATTATATATACTGTAAAGTTTATGTAAAAATGTTATCACGTATTCCAAAATATTGCGTTGTATACTATATATCGGACATAAAACAAAAGAGTAAGATATTTTTAATAAAACACAAGATGTATTTTGCACGAAAAGCGCTTTGAAAGTCAATGAAGGATGTTCTAAGCCGGAATGGCGACATGAAAATGAAAAAATTTTCACCAAGATTATTCGTGTTTGCGATCGTGATAAGAACAGATGGACTACTTTTCCGTCTTCAAATAACTATTTGCACTGTTTTTCGTATATTATGGAAGGAGATGAACTCAAAATGGTAGTAGAACGGTAGCCTGGACTGAGCATCATTCTCTATCCTTCAACCATATATGCCAAGCTGACCGTGTTTGGATATAGGCCTATATGACACATCAATTTTCGCTTATTTCGTAATGGATAAGAATAGACATTAGCCATTACGGGACTATGCAAAACATAATGTGATTATGTTTGCTTCAACAAATTACATCAAATGTAGTTAACATTTTTAGTTCACATTACGGTATAGGCCGAATTCCTTCTGGTCCGATTAAAACATTGGCATTTTTGTGACAAACTCATATTCAGTATTCTATTGTAAAATAAAGACAAATAAAAATTAGAAAACTGAAATTACTTCTTATGGACATACAGGTATCGCTCGTACAACACGGTGTTTGAGAATCTGGGAAATCCTCCGTACAAAATTTTCCAACACTAGATTTATGCCGGTATTAGTGTTGTATTAATATTGGACAGTAAAGAAAATGTAAGCAATTTTTATGTTATGTCAAATATTGTCGGATGTAATATCATTTATCTTGGTAACGAAAAACAGTAGCATACTTTTGTTAACTTCAGGAACGTAACTCTCTGTTTTTCNACATTTGTAATATTCTCTTCTAAATCTTCCTTAATACATAATATTTTAATATAAATGTATATAATATATCATTTATTAAAATTAAAATACATATTCTTTTCTGTTTCATCATTATGATGTTATTAATATATTTTACCATAAAGTTTGTAAAATAATTAAATATGCAAAACTTTTATGTATATTTCATCAACAAGTGTGGATAATATATTTATTAAATACTCAAAATTTAATTAAAGTTACAGAACTTCAAAATTAATAGAAAATTTAATAATTTCACCCAAGAATTAAAAGACGTATTTTTTTTTTTGCTGTTTCTAGTGCACTTTAGTAAATGAGAAATAAAATGTTTTCCTGGCAACAACTCTGATGATCTATTCAAGAATAAAATCTATTTGAAATAAAATATAAAATAATATAAAATTCTATATTTAATACACCAGTTTAGATAGCCATTAATGATACTTTTTATGTGGAATGTAGAAAACATTGAATGATTTAATTATAAATAAATGTAAAAAGTAATTTACTGAATGACCTTGTTTTAAAAGGTATTTATCTCATGCATTTTCATGTGTTAAACTTAGAAGCAGGGTCATTTTATCATGCATTTTTTTCAATTCAATTTAAATCTTACAAAAATAATGATGATAATATTTTATATATTACAGTATATATGTTTGTTTATAAAACTTTGCATTATTATTATATGTTTTTATTTAAATTTTAAAATACTTATATAAGTGTACAGGCATTTCTGAAAAATAATTAATTAAAACATTAGAAAACTACTCATAATTTTTAAATTGAATTAAACTATTAAATAAAATAGTTCAAAATTGGATTTAGTAACTTTAATTAGTTATCAATGGTAGGATAACATTGTTTATAAAAATGAGAGAAATAAACCTATCACATCACATTTAATGTTAGAAACTTTTGAATACAAATTATTTATAATAAAAAAATAATAATGTTACTTCATATTTAAATTCTCTATTAACATTAATCTTATTTATACTTAAAAATTGCCATTTTACTATAGTATTATTATTTGATAATTATTTTAAACTGTTTTAAGAAAAGGAAATTAACAATTTAAAGAAACAGTCTCTATTAATGTATTGGAAACATATAATAGATTTTATTTTAAAAATCTTTTGTCATCTATAGCAGGTGATATAACTGGTGCTGAATACAAGGAATAGAACAATGCAACTGTGTCTTATTTAAAGAGAGTTTTTGTATATCAGTTGACTATATATAACTTAACCTCACCAATACTATTGTCTACTGTCATAAAAGAAATAGCAGATGTAATTGTTAATATTCAAAAATTAAATATAATAATTATAATATAGATATATACATATATATATATGTTTTGTTAATATTTAGTATTGTNCATCATACAATATACAGTAGTTTATGTTTTATTACCTAAATATTTTAAGTTTTACATTTATATCTGCTCAGTATAAGATACACACGTTAGATTCATGTTACAATTTACGAAAATTTTCATATTGTTTGATTTCTTTAAAATAAACGTGTTAAAAATATCTAGTTGTTCCTCAATGCGATTATTATATGAATTATTTTTCTAGCGAATTCATAACATAGCAATATTTGAAACCAATACCTTGACTATATAAAAGTATCCCGAATTATTCGGGTATCATTAGTTTCAGGCGATAACATTGGCTTAAAAAACATTTCTCTTTCTATTTTATGTGTCTGTTAGCCTGTTAGCCTAAAGCTGATAGCAACAGAACTATAACTGATACCCACGTTGAAGAAAAAAATAGAATATTTTGTTTTATAACATTTTAAAATACATATTTAAAAAATTAAATTTATTAAATAATATTAAAATGTAAACCTAAATGCAACATCTTACTTAAATATTGTATTTATATTAATTAATAAGCCATTAAAAGTATACATGTATAATTTATCATTAAATCACTTGAAAATTTAAAAGTATCTTTCAAGCTCTTTTTAAATCTAAGATTTAAATCTCCAAAATATCAGAAATGACAAATTGAGAATGGAATAAGGCAATGCAACACAAGAGTAATCCGTCCAGAAGGGCGTCTCCAAGTAGAATTTTCTATGGGAAACTGATCCGTTTAGGCGTAAAACACGTAAAGAAAACACAGAAAATTCCGCATGACCTGCCCGTTGGTCAGGAGAAAACCCGTCACCAACTATCAGTGTTCAGTGATTTCATCCACTCTGCCACAGGTAGGTCTAATTGAGAATTTTATATATTATTTTATTCTATGTTCGTTTTGTTACTTTTTTGGAATTAGATAGGCCTACATGTTTATATTATATATTTGGTGAAAAGCAAAAGATATATATTTGGTGAAAAGCAAAAGACACAAAGTCTATAAATCTAAGAAACAAAAATTGTTTCTTAGATTTATAGACCTATATTATATATACTGTAAAGTTTATGTAAAAATGTTATCACGTATTCCAAAATATTGCGTTGTATACTATATATCGGACATAAAACAAAAGAGTAAGATATTTTTAATAAAACACAAGATGTATTTTGCACGAAAAGCGCTTTGAAAGTCAATGAAGGATGTTCTAAGCCGGAATGGCGACATGAAAATGAAAAAATTTTCACCAAGATTATTCGTGTTTGCGATCGTGATAAGAACAGATGGACTACTTTTCCGTCTTCAAATAACTATTTGCACTGTTTTTCGTATATTATGGAAGGAGATGAACTCAAAATGGTAGTAGAACGGTAGCCTGGACTGAGCATCATTCTCTATCCTTCAACCATATATGCCAAGCTGACCGTGTTTGGATATAGGCCTATATGACACATCAATTTTCGCTTATTTCGTAATGGATAAGAATAGACATTAGCCATTACGGGACTATGCAAAACATAATGTGATTATGTTTGCTTCAACAAATTACATCAAATGTAGTTAACATTTTTAGTTCACATTACGGTATAGGCCGAATTCCTTCTGGTCCGATTAAAACATTGGCATTTTTGTGACAAACTCATATTCAGTATTCTATTGTAAAATAAAGACAAATAAAAATTAGAAAACTGAAATTACTTCTTATGGACATACAGGTATCGCTCGTACAACACGGTGTTTGAGAATCTGGGAAATCCTCCGTACAAAATTTTCCAACACTAGATTTATGCCGGTATTAGTGTTGTATTAATATTGGACAGTAAAGAAAATGTAAGCAATTTTTATGTTATGTCAAATATTGTCGGATGTAATATCATTTATCTTGGTAACGAAAAACAGTAGCATACTTTTGTTAACTTCAGGAACGTAACCCTCTGTTTTGCATTAGTCCATTATTTCGTATAGCATGGATTCGCAAAACACAGCACTTTTTCAGTAACTACCATGTTATACGAGGGATACATGTACAGCAGTTGTTAAGAATAACCTAATAGAATAAGATTAATTTAATATCAGTATTGAACAAGATAGCGTAAAAACGATGAAAGTAGATTTGTAATTAACTATATTAACATATGCCAATAGATTATCTGGCCAATTTTTAAAACTCAGGTTTAAAAATCCAGATACGAATTGCTTAACTTTCCCGGAAAAATTTAAAATTGTGGTGGCGCTATCTGTTGATATTTTATTTAAAAATTTTATATTATTAATTATAAACTATCAAAAGGCTTAATTCTGAAGCTAGATAAAAAAAAAACAAATTATAAATGCTAATGAGTAAAATTTTCATTAAGTCCGATCCCACTCGCGATATGACATGACTCCACCCCTCTAACTCTCCAACCACTTGACCTTTAATCACCAAAATTTAATAGCATCAATCCCGCTAATTTACCAACCTCCCCGCAAAATTTTAAAATATGTTCGACAAAAGACACTGGAGTTATTAAAATTCAAAATAGGCGAACAAAAATCGTGCCCAAAACACAAACATCCATTCATACAGAAAATCCGCGATTTTTTTTTTAATTTCTCGACGTTTCAAAGTTCCAAACCGAAAAAATCATGGGGGGATAATTTTTTTGACCGATCATCATACTTTCCGTGTTCCTTCTCCCAGGAAAGTAATACCATATGACCTTAAAATATAAAATAAAGCAATAACAGTAAAACTAGAATCCGATATAAAATATTCAAATAACGATGCAAATTTATTATTATTATTACTACTACTACATATAGAATAATTCAAAATTGGTAGATAAAACTTTACGGGATGATCAATTATTCAATTTACAGTAAAAATGTTAACGTACAGTGAGAAATCTTTATTTCAAATCAGTTTACTATTTCAACCAGTAAAAACAGTTAACAATTTATTAGTTTAGAGACATATTACGTTCATGGATGGTTCGATGGCAACTTGCGCTTGAGGCAAAACCGATTTTTGGCGCCCGATTTCAAAACGGTTGCCAATAGAGAGCACTTTTAGTTCTGGAATTCTTGTATGAACTATTTATAAACAACTTTAAATAATAATAACAATAAGCCGAATACAATGAAGCTCGGTAAAGTATATTTACGGAACTTCATTGTATTCGGCTTATTATTATTGTTATTTTTTCTCCTTCTGAACACTTTTAAAAGCTCGTTTTGCCGCTCCCCAAATTAGCCGGGCTTGGTTACGTTTAGTCAACTAATACTTAAAAAAAATTAAATTTACAAGAGTTGTTCAAGTGATTGTCATAACTGGCTACACAGGCTTTACATTTACGGATAACAGAACCAATATTTTGTATATTTGTTGCTAATTAAAACTTTCCTTCTTTTAAACTTTAATTCCAAATATCTGTGTTCTAAATATATAGTTATAAGAATTGATTTAAAAATTTCATAATTCACTTCATTACTATTACAATGTCACCTTATGTCTCAGATTTCATATTCGACGACCATTGGCCAAATGGATAAAACCACTAATAATTGGTCGCTGATTCTCGCTAGTCATATGGAGTTTTCCGGGTTTTCTTCACATGTCTAACACCAAATATAGGGGCTTAGTTTCTCATAGAAAA